ATATTAGGATCAGATGTTCCTTGCAGCAAGAACTGTCTGTTCATCTTTGCTTAGTACAGTAGGGCTGTATCCCTGTTCATCCTTCATTTTTTGTAATAAAAGCCATTCATTCTTCAGTGATGTTCAACAATTGAAGCCTGCAGTACAGAGAATGATCTTGTTGTATATATGGATGTTTTCAGGACCTGATTACAGGCTTGGGATCGAGTTTGTTCTTTAAAATGCTTCAAACTAGTTTAAATGCAACATATTCACATGACAGTCTTCATCCCAAACAGATTTGTAGAACTTATGCAGAAGTGTATCTTTTTTATTCTAGTATAGTCTGTATATTCTGAAATATTCCTACTAAAATCGGGAGAGTTAAAATGGGACAAAACCAGAGCAAGGACTTTATGTGCAAAAATACCACAACTTTGTAGTTGGATCTTTACAGTTCTCTGGAAAACTCAGCCCAATACTTGGCAACAGTCAAAAAAGAAAAAAAAAATTTAGGATGCATTAAAAAAGGAATGAAAAATTGGAACATATCATTATGACATTGTAGAAATCTATGGCTTGCCCACATCCTGAATATTAATGATCCCTTCTTTAAAAGGAGATGTTTAGACCCTGAAACAGCATGAGGATGCTTAGAAACACCAAAACATGCTATGCAAGGAAAATGAAAAAAGGTAAAAATGCTTCAGCATCAGAGATGGCTGAAGGGAAAACATGATGGAGTAGCCTGCAATCATGAGTACTGTGAAGAAGCTGAACTGAAAAAGAATTTTTTATTTGTTTATTTGTTGTGTTTTTTGTTTGTTTGTTTGTTTGTTTGTTTGTTTTATTCTATTTCAAAAGAATGTGAAGAAGCCTAACACAGACATTTTTTTTTAATTCTAATGCCTAATAGGCATACCATAGGTTTTATTAACGAAAATTGATTGGGATGCCAAATATAGATTTAAATGTGTTAAAAACATGTTTAGTACAGGAAAAAGGCCTCTGAAGACTATTACATGTGGTAATGGGTATGCTTTTTCCAGCTCAGAAAGACCCTAAAAAATCATCCAGCTGGAAGCTAGGAGTGCAGGATCACCGACACTGCTTTGGTTATTTTACATGGTCACAAGGCATCTGCTATTAAGCATTATGAGAAACACAATAATGTTCTAAACACACTTTGGTCTTACCAAACAGTGCTATTCTTATGTTTCTATGGCCCTATTTTTGCAACTATGAAGAGAAATTTGTATTTAAAGCAGCAAGAAAAGGAGACTGAAAGTTTCCTGACTGAAATAGAGGCAAGCTTTAGAACATTAATTTCAGCTTCAAAATAAGTCTCAAATCTTTCACTTTAATGTTTAAAATATAAAGCTGCAGACAAGTAAATGCATTTTTTTTTGGTGGAATGTGGCTAAGGTATATAATATTTCAACATTAATATGTAACATTTTATGCTAGGTGGAAAAAAATCCGGAGTACTTCCAAAATTTTGAGTATCTAATAGGTTTGCTTCTTACATATGCATCTATGTATCCATCCTCTTATCCATAGATAGATTTATCTTCTGCCTTTCTCCTTCTTCCTCCATCCCATACCATGCAGACTGAAAGGATTTGAGAGGGCTCAGTCAGATTCAGCACTGAAACCCCTCCACATCAAGAGGCAGAGAGAATCCCCTACAGCTGGGAGGGTGGGAAAAAAATAAATTACTTCACAGATGAATGCAGCAAGAGAAGACTGGATTGCAGTGGAGTATGTTTTGTTACAAGATGAAAGCTCTTCCAGAGCAGCTGTTCCGTCCTTATACAACCCTCAGCACTGTCGATGTCTGAGTGATTTCCACCAGAGCACTGAGACCAACATGTGTCTCGTGAGGTTTTTTCACTCATTTATCCTCCACCAGGGAGAAATCTGTGTGCACAATGCTGTATTTTGATAGAAAGAAATTAGCTTGGGATTTTCTATAGGCACGTAGGATTCTTTTTTAGATGACTTCACATGGCGTCAAAGATAAAGCTAGATGCCTATGATGTTCAGAGAAGCAGTGAACAATCCAGGCCACCTACCTTACTCAGTAGAGCTGTCAGACCCATACGCTTGCATCAGGTAGATTAAAATTTTTGTTTAAACCATTTTAAAACCTTCCTCCATCCCTCCCTTAATTCTATACAGAAATTGAGAATGTACTTTAGGAGGACTATTTGACAAGGTCATGCAAATAAATGCATGTAAATGTAAAACATAGGAATATGTTAGGTAAAGTAGGTGCCATTCTGTCCCTGGCACAAAGACAAGCTGAAGGTGTTCAGTTTAGGTTTTGTATCTACCTCAAGGCTGCTTGTTTTCAGACATTTTGCATCTTTCAGATGCAATATCCAGGTGATAATGGGAAAATCCCTCACCTCTGACTTTAATCAGGCAATAGAAAATCTTGGAGCCAAGGGAAAGGGAGATGAGTGGGAGGTCTGACATAATGTAGTAAAGGCAGTGGGTGGTGTTTGATTTTCTTTTCTTAGTGCCTTTTTTATAGATAAATCAGTAGCTAATCTGCTAAAATGAATTTCTGAGGAGGACTCTGAATTTCAGGACTTTCATTAGTGCATTGATTCAAATCTAAACCAGGCTGTGGGTGTTTCTTTCCTATTTTAAGTCACCAAAATCCTCAGGGTGTTCCCTGTTCTGCTTTAAAATACATAAATAAATAAGTCTGATCACTCCTTAGCTGTGTATAACTCAGTGGAATTTACCAACTTCAGAGCCTTGCAGCCCTCCAGGAAGATTTGACTATTTTTCTTTCTACATATTTTTGCTTTGGCTCCACTACAATGCTACTTTCGCTGTAGTGCTGTCCAGTGCTGTAGTGCTGTAAGAAGATGGGATGCTCCTAGCTGGGAAGGCTGTTTGTGCTGTCTGTTTTCCATGTAGCATCTGTCTCTGAACTACTTGGGTAGCCGGCCACAGAATGTACGAGATAAGAGATTATGTTTATGTGCATTGGGTAGTGAAGAGGAAAAGAGACTGTCCAGCCTTCCTGGCTTTTGCTGATGAAAATAAGTATTGAATTCACTCCTCTGAGACAGGCAATGTGGTGCTATGACAGTGGTCATACCTCTGTTCCCATTCTTTGAAGAGCTGTCTCATTACCAAAACATGGTTGAAAAAAGATGATTACTGCAGCATATGCCAGTAATAGTGTAGATGCCTTATGACTTCTCTCCTGAAAAGAGGATGTCTGTTATTATCAATGTTGTAAACTGCGATGGGCTCATCGAAGTCTGTTGCTGGAGCACATTTGACAAAATCCTACACAGTTTATGAATTGGTAGCAGGACCATCTATTGCATCAATAGAGCTGCTGTTCATGCTCATTAAGTCTATATCCTAAGCACCTTCATGAATGGATAGCAGCAGCTATTGTTACCATGCTGTGGTCTATTTACAAGAATAAATGAATTGATTTGTTTACATCTTTTATTTCTGTCATCAAAAGCAATGGCCCATAGTTCGGAATGATGGTTTTTATCCTTTCAGCTTGAAAATATATCCATATTTGAATAATAGGAGTGAAATATCAATGTTTTTTATTTTTGTTTTTGTGTTTGGTAAAAATTAAACACAGATGAAATTGAAATGGGGGACTTGTGCTCCCAATCTACATTTATTTGGGATAGATGCACCACAGAACCTGCACCTGTATTGGGCTTATGTGGTAAGGTTTTGGTAGCAGGGAGACTACTGATGTTGGAGCAGTTCTTGAAGAGCTGCTGCCTGTGGGCAGGCCATGCAGGCTCAGTTCAGGAAGGACAGCATCCCGTGGGAGGGACCCCATGGGGAGCAGGGGCAGAGAGGGACCATGAGGGAATGGTGGAGATGAAGCATCAGGGACTGACAGCAGCCCCATTGCCCGTTCCCCTGCACCACTTAGGGGGAGGAGATGGAATAGGATGGATAGGGGGCAGGTGGTTTTGGTTAACTTGAGATAACTGAGTTTCCTGAAATAGTTATTTTTCTAAAATTAACACTAGTGGTTTTAGGTGTTGCTGAGCAGTGCTTACACAGAATCAAGGACCTTTCATCTCCTCGTGCTGCCCTGCCAGCAGGGAGGCTGGGTGTGTACCAGGAGCTGGGAAGGGACACAGCCAGGAGAGCTGGCCCCAATGGGCCAAAAGGATGTCCCACACCATGCTCTCATGCTCAGCAACAAAAGCTGGGGGAAAGAAGGAGGAAGTGGGGTATGTTCAGAGTGATGGTGTTTGTCTTCCTAATAAACTGTTACACGCGGTGAGCCCTGCTCTTCTGGAAGTTGCTGAGCACCTGCCTGCCGATGGGAGGTAGCCATGGTTTTGCTTTGCTTGCACACGTGGCTTTTGCTTTACCTAGTGAATGCTTTTATCTTAGCCCATCAGTTCTCACACTGTTACCTTTCTCATTCTCTCCCCCATTTTCTGATTCTCTCACACCTGGGGAGAGTGAACGAATGGCTGTGTGAGGCTCAGCTGCCTGCTGGGCTAAACCACAACACTGCTCTAGTCTGCTATCAACTACACTAATCTCCATTATGCTGAGTCTGTTTTACCTGTGATAGTAACTAGTGAGTGATCTCCCTGTTCTTATTTCAGCCTGTGAGCTTTTCTTGTTTTCTTCCTCTCCCTGTCCTGTTGAGGAGAGGAAGTGAGAGAATGGTGTGGTGGAGCTGAGCAGTGTGAGACCACCACAGCCCTTGTACTCTCTTGAGAAGAACAACTTAAGCATTTTGCAAGGTACTCTGGTACCAGACAGCTGCAAGAAGCATATATGCAAAGCCAGTTTGGCTCTGAAGAGATGTGATCCCACCCTTCAACTTAGTTTCGATGTAGTTGCTTACCATATTACAAGGCACAGAGAATACTGTTATTGAAACAACATGTGACAACCTGAGCTGTCTTCTAACAAGCCACAGCTGTAGGACAGATCTGCAGTGCACCAAAAACTCCTTTATTCAAGGGGGGACACTGCTTTCCTCACCTTTGTGGCATCCTTCCTGGTGCTTTTGATGTCTGTAATGTGATGATAAAACCACTGTCTGCATTCAAGCCTATTTGCTCTTTCTTGATACCCTATGGTGAGAGGGGAGATGCCTTTTCTCTCTCTACCCTTGCCAGCCTTATGGATACAAGGGATGGGTAAAAAGCCTGTTTGCTGTGTTACTACTTCTCCTCTTTCTTTTTCTATTTATGTCTTGACCCTGACCCACTTTTAAGATTGGTAGTAGATATCTCCCTTTGAGGGAACCTTTCCAGACTGACATGCTTTGCGAGCAGAGCCCTTATAATTGCATTTCTCACAGGATAACCATCCTGAAGGAGTTGCATAATCCTCCCTTGCACTGTCCTGCTGATGAGCTGCAAATTGACAATATGTAAAAATAGTTGAAGCTTGGCCTCCTTTCTTCATCTGAAACAGTTACAGAGAACCTTTCTTCAGAGCTTTCCTTACTGATATGGTTATTTGTACGTGGTGTTACAGCACTTACTACCTTTAAACAGTACTTCTTTCTCTTTTTCTCTTTGCATGTCTGTAGTATTATCTCTGGTCTTTAATGTCTTTAGTATATAGAAAATTCTGCTTGGCCTTTGAAGAGGAAATTGTCTCATAATTACTGCAGTTTTACCTTTTTCACAACAAAGAGCTTGGCCAAGGTCTGGGTCAAGAAATGAGGATTTGGCTTAATCATAGCCTTAACTGTACCTTAAACAGTTCAGGATTGTGATGGAGCCAAAGAATAAGGATGTATTTGTCTTCTTAAATTTAAGCCTAAATAAGGGTCTAGGATGTTCAATGGGCTAAAGAGGAAGAAAAACTTATATAGAAGATGTTAGATTTTGAGGAAGCGTAGAAGAAAGAGGGAAAACTTGACTAGTAAAAGCCCAGCTAGCACAAAAAAAAAAAAAAAAAAGCTAACACAGTAAAAGCCTTTTCACTGTGGTCTATACTGATTGGAATCAGTATTCAGAGTCAATGTCAAAAAATATCCTGAAAACTGATCAGTTTCTAACAGGAAATCTGTTTGGTCATGACTGACAGTAATGAAAACATGAATTATATTATAATTTCATGTCCTTTTTTTTTTTTTTTTTTTTTTTTCTCACACAATCTAAATAAGCTTTTTGTTTGTTTGTTTGTTTTTCCATTCCTTTCTATTTTTCTATTTCTTTTGCATGCTCACACTTTTAATAATGATGAGGACCACAGAAGTGACTCGATAAATAGATATCTGCACCTGAGATCAGAAATTCATTGTGAAAGATTTTGTATATGCACAGAGGAAAAAAAGTCTTTCTCCTGATGCAGATCTTTAAATAAATGGAGAAGGTAGAGAAAGAAGTGGATAAGAGGTAAATACAACTTTTACTTCTTACAAATTCTGAATTGAAAGAAAGACAATTGACTCAGATAGAGAGGTGAGCCACAGTAGCCTAACAAATTCCCTTACATCAGCTGAGTCTCAGTCATTTATTCCTGTGTTCATTGCAGAAGATACTAAGTCTGCAGATTTGCCATTGGTTAGCCATATGCATAAGGACAGTGAACATAGCTCAGCAAAAAAGTCTGCTGACAAGGCCCTAAGAACAATGTTGAGATTATGTCTAGCAAGGAAGAGATCAGACGAGAATGAACCAAACCCGATCATCTGAAACTGGTAAAGAATGAGAACATCTGCTTTTCTGCCTTGCAGTCCCTCCAGAGGGGTTAATTTGACATTGAGGTTGTATGAATGAAATACATGTGGAAAGACACTTTATTTCCCAATAGGCCAGAATAGTGTGAGGTGTCATTAGGCTTGTGTTGCTATGGAAGGAATTATTATTAGACCAAAACAGGGCAAAGGATTTTGTTTTTATTGTATCTCCCCAGCCTGAGATATGCCATGGTCACTTGCAATGTGAGATCTGTACTCTTCTTTTTATCTTTTTGTCCTTTCCCTTCTTTCCCTTTATTTCTTATTTTCTTTGCAATTACTGACTGTGTTTTATTGGAACCCATAACTTAAAAGCCAATAATGAATAGTGTGCAGTGACCTACAGCATCAAATAGGTAGAAATTTGATAATTCTAGAGAAAAAGCAGACCTATTCTGTTAGCCAATGTTGTACTGAAATAATCACTAAGACTATGAGAATGTGCTTACAGCATGGAATGAAGCATGGTGTGGCTGCCCTCCCTCCAACCTACTCTATTGCAGAAGAAAATGTTTTTTTTGTTGTTGTTGTTGTTTTTTCTTTCTTCATCTGTGTGATTCTTCCGTATTTTGCTTTCAGGGAAGCAAGCTGACTCTGACATCAGGTAAACACAAAGGCTCCAGGTTGTCTCAACTAATTTTTTTCTTTTCCTTTCCTTTCCTTAATGGACAGCTTGGATCATGTCATGTCAGTCAGAGAAGAAAAACAGTGTTGGTTTAAATACCATATTCAAGGTTTTACATTTCAGACACTTGTCTTCTTTTTCCTCTGTTTATGTTCTTAGGAAAGGGTGAGATATATTTAATATTAACGATTTATTGATGGATTAAGCAGGTTTGTGTGTATAATCAGAACTACAAGCCATGTCTGGTTACCTTGTCTTCAACGGCAGTGTCCTACCACAACCTTTCACACGTCAGATTTGCTTAATCAAAGATGATGACTAGTATTATGAATGGAAGTTTGAAAGGACTCTTCAGACTCTCAACTGCAGTTGTGTGCTTCTGTCAACTATAAGGGAATATAAAAATGCAGGCATATTTGAGCTAACTCTCAGTTTCATGGGTAGTAATCTCTGTCTTATATACAGCTGGTTATGTGGATGAGGGTACTCTGTCCATACACAAATAACAAATGACTTTTGCTATTTGCCATTAACCTTCCTGAAGGTTGTATATCTTCTTTGAACTTTCATGAATCGTTTCTCTATCTTTCAGAAAGAAATATTTCTTTAATCAAACATATGATCCTTCAAGCTGTCCCTTCAGTGTTGAGAACAGAAAATAAGGGATTTATTTCTGTTCTAAAGGAAAATTTTGAGTGCTGTATCTCTGTGTTTCTGTAACTATGAGTGCTACCAGAATACACAGATGCCCACCTTCCCTGTGTTTTTTGTTTGTTTTTTTTTTTTTTTTTTTTTTTTTGGTGATCATCTGAAGAGTAAGGGAGGTTTATTGATGGGAAAGCAGTTTGAAGGGAGAGATAGGAACAAGACTGATCTGATATAAGTAGTGCTACAGAAACCTTAACAAAATAGCAGGAACAGAAAGAATACAGAAATGGAAGACAGAGTGAACTTCTTAAAAATCACATTTCACAGTTCTTTATTGCCTTCTGCTCTCTGTTCTATATGTATGGGGGAAGGAAAAATAGAAAAACTGCAAGTACTGTGATAAATACTTCTCTGTGGTGCAAATGACTTCATAAAAACTCAACTTTCACTTGTGTTTTATCATCCTTTCACCAGGCACCCTTGATGTGCTATTTATAGCTGTGTAATTCACAGTAGCCTGTCAATTATCTTATAGGGTACTTTCTGGCCATTGGTTGGAGGAGGATATATCCCATCTGAATGACAACACTTTTTGTAACCTTATGGCATACTTGCAAATGTGATTTCATTTCAGGCTGTGATGGAAATGTTAAGATAAGTGGGCACCAACAGCTTTTCTGCCTTCCTGCCTTTGCCAAAAGAACAGGTAAGATCAGTGGAGGCAAAAAAATCTCAACTCTTCCTTAATCAATATTTGCTTCAATCGCACCCTTGTGGAATTCTTTTTTTTTTTTTTTTTTTAATATATTTATTTTTATTTTTTCTTCTGGGAATGCAAAAATGTGAACCTAGACAGGGTACGATGCTGAAGGGTTATGAAGTTTTCCATTTTTCAGGGTATTGCTGGCTCTGTTCTATTCAGCTTAGATCACAGATGAAGGTGTGTTTTCTTCTGCACTTCTCAGTGTATATATGGCATTTTTAAGATTTATTTCTTTTAAATCCACTGACATAAGGACTAGCTATATTAAAAAAAAAAAAAAGTGTGTGTGTATGGGGGTGCCCCATTGTATTCAAGCAACATAGATTTAGGCCTGAGAAGTGGAGAGGATCTTTTGGTTACTCAGTTTAATATTCAGTGGACAGCTGACTATTACAAAACTATGCCTGTATAGAGCTCCAAATCTGTTTTACTTTTTGCTTCATAGAACCATCAAGATTCTTTCTTCACCTAGTGAAACACAGAATAAAATCCACATTTTTGCTAAGAGCCCAGTCTCCAGCTGAATGCTCACTGCTAGGTATTCACACCAAATTTATATATATATATTTTTTTTTTTTATATGGTCTCATATCAGTTACATTTCTTTATTTTTGAAGGCCTGTCCTCATAGTGTTTCGATTCCCCTCAACCTTATCATCTGTATTTCACTATTTCTTATACTGTGTGGAAATCAAAACTGCTCTCTATCATTCCAGTCTTGGTTTTACCAATGACATAAGTACATTTAAATTCTCCTTCCTAACCTTTCTTATTAATACATGCTCATTCAGAACACCTAAATTCTTCTGAGGCTCCACAGGACCAAGTCTATGTACCTGTTCTGCAGCCCTTGATCATGGAGATAACTTGGAATAGTCTAAAGGAGGAGGGAAAGAAAAAAAAATAGTGATCCACATCCTTCTTTTTGCCTGACCTGAAATGATGATTTACCAATTTGCCTGTTCTTACTGAACTTATCAGCAGCATACTTATACTACCTCAATAAATGTGTAGTTCCAATCTCATTTTAATAAAAAAATAACAACTAATCTCATTTAATGATTTCACATTAACAGCTTTTTGATATTGGTTTGTTGTCTTAATCTATTTAAACTTGTATTTATCAATATTGCATAATTTTAAAAATTTCATCAGATTGTTCTACTGTGCTAAGTCAAATGCCTTGCAGAAATCTAAGCATATTATCTCTCTACTAACTCCTTTATCAGCTGAACTTGTAGTGTTCTGAAGGATGTAATCAGGCTTATGTGACATGATTTATTTTTCAAGAGACACTGTTGAGAGGCAGTACTTATATTCTTGTTCCTTATTTCTCCCTCAGATAAATTAATGCTCAGTCAGGTTTTTCATTAATTTATGCAGGGTTACAGCAGGTTTTTTGTTACCCAGGTTATCCCTCCTGACTTCTGAATAGTAGGATGCTAACACTTCTCTATCCTTCCAGACCATGCTGTTCCCAGATAGATTGAAAATAGCATCTGGCCAAAATGCCCTAAGCCAACTCTTTCTACTTCTGGTGTAAGCTTTTTGGATTTGCTAAAAATAAATGTTTCTTTCATATGGTTATTGTGTAATATCTTGCTGAGTTACTTATGGACTGGAAAATACTTTATCATGCTCAAGTGATAAGTGTAGGTCATGCTGCTTCATTCAAAACACAGAATAGAATAAGTTTTTGAACACATCTGGCTTTTCTGCATCACTGCTTATTTTACTGCCTCTCTATTCTTGATATTGTTTCTTTCTTTCATAGTGTATATGAGTATTTTTTCAGCCTTGCAAACTTTTTTATTCTCTTTTCTATCTTTTCTCTTTTTATTTTTTTTTTCTGTCTTTCTCTTTTTGATTTTCTGCATTTGGAAAACAAGACAAAGTTGCCCGTTTATGTGTCCAATGGACAGATAGAAAGCTTGTAATACTAGTATTTCTGTTTCTATTTCCATCTAACTTATTTGTGGTAATAAATCTTACTGTTCGCTTTACTGTGCTCTAAAGCCACAATTGGTCACAAGTGTTTTTTTTTCAGAATTGTGGTATCCCATCCCTTTTGGCTACCAGAACCCCCCTTTTAAGTGGCTTCTGATTTTTCATTCATGTTTTCTTCCGAGTTGTATATATCCCAGATGACGATTTCATAGAATCATCATAGAAACAGAATGGTTTGGGTTGGAAGAGACCTTAAAGATCACCTAATTCCACTCCCCCTGCCATGAGCAGGGACACCTTCCATTAGAAACTTCCAATAGTTTGCAAGTCATTTTAAGTGTTCCATATTTTTTAGCAATAAAGCTGGAAGGTGGCTTGCTGTTTTGTTATTGGCTCCTTGCTTGCTTGCTTTTTAGACACCTTTTGCCCAACTCTAATGCTATTATTATTATTTATTTATGTTACTGGTTTACTGCAATGTGAAAGCAAATGGATTTACATCAGCTCCTACCAGATGTGGTGTTCCTACTCAGCTCCAGATTCCTGGTGCTGGTATGGATGTGGCTGAAAAATTACCCTAATGTTCTTTGGTGCTTTTCTTCAATTCATTTCTGAATGGGATCTGACTGTTTAAAATTGCTCTGTTTTAAATGGGCACTGCCTTGCTGCCTGCACTAGTCAATTGTCAACCAACTCTGTCTCTGAGATTCAGACCCTCTTAGTTGCCCTTCTCTTCTTATAAGAATATGATTATGTATTTCACAAAAGAATGCCTTGCCATTTACTGCAGTTCATTGCTTTACATACAATATCTCCTGCTGCCATTAATTTTCAAAACAAGGGGAACTCCAAAGCTGTCACCTGAATTTCTGCTGAGAAGACCCCAGAAGCCTTCTATATCCCTGGAGTTCCTTGAGATACCATGACCCCATCTTATATCAGTTCTTCTGTTGTAAAGTAAAACCTCTCAGCAGCACAGAAAGGGCCTCTTTCAGGTCATTGATAAAGATGTTTGATTCCCAGGTGCCCAGACAGCCTGCTGTGGTGCCCCACTTGTCACTGGCCTATAGTTGGAGCATGACCCATTAACCACTGCTCCATGAACCCAACCTATGTTGAGGCAAATTGCATTCACTGTTCTTCCCTTGTCCACAAGACCAGTCATTTTATCAGAGAAGACACGCAGATTGATTGGTCATGCATGATTTACATTTGGGAAATCTATGCTGATGGTTCTGAGACTCCTCCATTGTTCACCCATGTGTTTCAAGAGGGTTCACTCTATGGTTTTCCCAGGAACTGAATTCCTGCCAAAGAGCCTCCTGTGTGCTTTCAGCTATTCCTCTCCATCGTCTGCCATAATTTTCCCAGCAGCATTTGTTTTTTCCCCCCACCTTCATTTTAAATAACTCAGTTAAGTCAAATAAAAGCTTTCCCAGAATATTTTAAATCAGACATTTGAGTCTCTCTCTTCCAGCCTTTAATACACTCAGCTGTACATTTCAGAGGAATATATTCAGTGTTGGTTGATACTAGACTTCAAAGTTAAATGTATAAAAAGCATCAAGAGTTAACTGCAGATAATCTAAAGAATTAATCTTAAAACAACAAACAAACAAATAGATACAAACTCACTTTAGACAGGGCAAAAACAGTTGCAAAGCTATACCCAGGGCACAGCAGAAATGTGGTACTCAGTCTCTCTGGCAACTTAATCTTGAAATCTGTGTTGGTTTTCTTTTTTCTTTTTTTTTTTTTAATAAATTATATGCTTCAAACTTGTTTCCTGCTTCTGCTTGTTTTCATTTTTTATTTATTTCTACCTCTTTCACAACATATTTGTTGCCTCTAAAGCCTTAACTGAAATTTCTGATTATTTTTTTTTAATCCTTAAACTGTAACTAGACTTCTTCAACTTCCAGTAAAGTTAAGTTTTTTTAGTTCTTTGCGTTGCTCACTACTTTGGCAAGTTATAATTGCATCCCAAATTCTCTATTTCTCTGTTCCCATTAGTCTTTCAGGATTGCCTAGTTGTGTACAGCAGCCAGAGCACCGCAAATACCTTCCAGATGGGGGACAGTAGATACTACAGCTTCTTTAAATTAAAAAGCTTCACGTTCAGTCTGTAGATATCACTTAGTTTCCATATCCAAAACTTCGAGGCAGATATTTGCCTTCTCTCGGTTTCTGTGCAGACATTTCTGTTTAAATGAAAGGAGAGTTGATTACAGAAGCTCCCTGCCAGTAAGAGATTTTTCATTAATGTTTAAAAAGCATAACTTAATTGCTTTAGTAGCGAGAATTTTCTAGAAGTGGGCCCTGAAATCTGTTTCTGTGAATAAAAGAAACTTTTCCATTATAAATAGGGAAGAATTAAATGCAAATTTTAATTAAAAAGAAAAATTTTACACAGAAAATACAGGAAGCACCACTTCAAATCACCTGAAAATAGAAAGCAGTTGGTAAAGTGTAGTCAATTAAATATTCTCTTGGGTCTTAATGTGCCACACACTTGATGTTGCTTGTTAAATGGGAAACCTCATAGTTGCAGGAAGCATTTCCTTTGTGTCTTGTGTCTGTGCCCACTAAGTTTAAAATTATAAGTAAGGATACAATGAATATGTTAGATAAGACTGCAATCAAATCTTGGTTTTAAACTTTGATGCTTTTAGTTTATGATGCCTGAGCTGAAGTCACTGCTCTTGAATTTTCTTTCTGTCCTCTGTCCACCTCTTTTCTGATTCAGCTGAAATGTGCAGACTTGGTGTCACTCTTTCTTCCAAGTTTCATAAATATAGCTGGAGGTGCCCCTTTTACTCTGAGGATGCCTGTCCTATGAATTTAAATAACAAACACTACAGGCAGATTGTACAAAGGCACATTCACCTTGGACCACTCCCATCCCACAGAGGAGTAGGCATCTGTTGTGGCTGAAATTGGATGGAAATGATCCAGAACTTCAGGTTACCCAAAAAAGAGGCATATACAATTAACAATAACAATCCAGCTACTTGAGTTGTGTCAGTGTGTATTGAGATAATTTCATCAGAGGAACAGCATGTTGGTACCTTTATGGCTTTACAGTGCTCTATTTAGTGGTAGCTATCCTGCTGCTCAAGCTTTAACATAATCTTCTCCATATTTAGAGAGGCTGCTCTTGCACTCCATCATGCCAAGGCAAGTCTCCATTTATTTAGAATAGCAGTCAAGCTGGCCTTGGCTGCTGAGATAAGAATAAGTCTATGGCTCAGGATCCTTTAAGAAGGAATCTTAAAGATCCTCTTGTTCCAACCCCCTGTCATGGCCAGGGATGCTACCCACTAGATCAGGTTTCCCAGGGCCTCAACCAACCTGGCCCTGAACACTTCCAGGGATGGGGCATCCACAGCTTCTCTGGGCAACCTATGCCAGTGCTTCACCATTTTCTGAGTGAAGAATTGACTCCCAGCCTCTAATCTCCCTTCTTTCAATTTAAAACCATTCCCCCTTGTTCTGTCATTATCTGCTTGAGAAAAAAAGTTCCCTATCTTTCATATAAGCCCCCTTTAAGTACTGAAAGGCTGCAATGAGGTCACCCTAGAGTCTTTTCTTCTTTAGGCTCAAAAACCCCAGCTCTGTCATCCTGTCTTCATAGAAAAAATGCTCCAGCTCTCTGATCAACTTTGTGGCCCTCTTCTGCACGCACTCCTTCTTCTGCTCCACCTCCTTCTTGTGCTGGGGGTCCCAGACCTGGATGCAGTACCCAAGTGGGACCTCAGAAGGGCAAAGCCAGAGACATGGGACAGTGAAGGAGCAATGGGAAGGAAGAAATGCAAAATATGAGAATACCAGTCTCAGAGCTGATGAGCCCATGGTGTCTGTCATTCATTTGTATTTTGAGGGCAATAACTGCAGAAGGGTGTATAACTATGAAAGGCCAACCAAGGCAAGAGAAGGAGCCAGTGAAAAGGCAAAGCCAATAAGGTGAAATGCAGATAAAAGCATGCTGGTGATGTTATGCAAGCAATTGAGTGGCAAGATGAGGGCTCAGCACATACGTGCTTTGGAGAAGTTTGTGCATGGAAGCTATTTGTGAAGAGACAGTAGAATCTAATTTGTTTGAACTCTACCATCTGTGGTGTAATTGCCTTATTACCAGTGGGATTTATATGAGTAAATGAACACTAGAAAGAGGAATACTAATAGTAGGGTTTTGTTTTACATAGCACTCTATGCTCATAGCACTCTCTCTGCTCATCTGTCTAAACTATATAAAAAGAAGTCAACTGATACCTGGTTTACATAAGGTTATATATTTTCATTGATAAAATTATATTAAAAGTAGGTCAATTACAACAAAACATTTGCTAAGGAAGAAATAAACTCACTGTCATGAAAAGAATCTGATTGCTCTCTAATTACAAATAATAAAAAAATCAGTAACATCAATTCTAAAATGCATCTTCAACAGAAGAACAAAAATAAAACTGGAAGCTGACATCTTTCTTTTACAAGTAGTTCCTCTAAGAGCTGCTAGTTTGACAAGCTTCCAAACTGACATCTTCTATTTATACATAAAGGCATTGCATTTTTTCCCAGCTGATATTTGCTAACAAGGCCCTCAGCAGATGGTATGCTGAGTTGGATAAGTTCTTTTTTGATATTAAAATATGTTTTTTAAATTCCTTTCCCATTAAAAACTATGGGTCATGTTGTATAAGGACTACCATTGTGGTTACATAGACATTCCTTCATGTTCATAAACTGTGCCAACTAATAAATCAGTCAGCAGTTAGGCAAAGTGAATTTAATGTTATAGATAATATTTTAAAATCTTGACATCAATTCAAACCATTAGAATATGCACATATATGGTACTTTTTTGAAGATAGATTGATATCCTAACAGACTTCACCTACACATAATGTTTAGTAAATGTTGTCCCATATCTGGCCTTCAATATAACAGGAGAGTAGGCAGTGTTGAAGTTATAGGTCCCCTTTTTAAAACAGGGGACTGCTGCTATAATTAGAACTGATAAAGCTAGATCAAGGTTTTGGAGCTGAAATACTTCGTCAAATTCAACTGTGTATTAGCTATGTCCTACTTTTCTTCAACTTATTTCCACTGTCTGCATTTGATCTGGTCACTAGAATGTGGCAAGATGTTCATGCTGTTATGGGATACATTGGGTAACTTAGTGGTTTTGGAGTTAGCTAAGATTACGTGTGATGCAGTGGAAAAATAGAGGTGGCAACATTTTGCATCCTCATTCTAAGAAGATACAGATATGAACTGAGCTTTGCCTAGCAGTGCTTCCTAGGAAAGGCTATATACAGAGTAATTCCTAATTTAAAATGTCATTACTTCGTAAAATCAATGATTGTCATTCATGTGA